TTTTCCTTTACTTCTAGGCATTTGAAGGTCTGTGATGGCCTTGTTCATCCATTAATCTGGTTACGCTTCTTTGGAAGCTGTAGTTTTATTGTACCTTGATATCTTAATGAAAATTGTTATAGTTGTTTTATATTTGTCATGTTTAATAGTTTATTGTAAGTTGTCTTTCCTTCTTTCCTAAGAAAAAGGTGTCAAATGAGCACAACAGTTCACATACATCCTAACAGTAATCCAGTATCCAGGCTTTAGGGATAAGGTTCATAAGGCATCTGTATCTTGCTTCCTCTGCTACTGGTTTGTGAATTAAATTTTCACAAAGGCAGGATTGTGTGGGAATGGTGCAGACTGGTGCAAAGGGATGGCAGGGAAGACCAACACTCAGATTTCTTGGAGAACCCTTTCAACTTTCCTTGAAAGCACTCCCATAGCCCACACCTGATTTGTTTGCAACAGCTCTCCGACAAAGCTTAGAAAGGAAAGGCCTGCTTGTTGAAGAGGCGAGCTATATGGACTTGCCCATCACCAGTCAACACAATTTGCAGCCCAAACAGTATGTCCATGGATTCAACTTGAGTGATTATTTCCAAGTGAAGAACGTCTTTAGGAAAATATGCTGTGACTGTGCCAACATATTGCCATTCTAAAGCTCAGGAGAATATGATAAATGATAGTTGGTCTCTGATGTCTGGAATAAACAGCTGAAAATCACATGAAGGGTTTCAGTCCTTATGTGTGTGTTCAAACTATATTAATTAAAACATATTAGAAATTGTAATTACTTTCCTACCTTATGAGAAATTCATGTATTCATTAGAAAAGGAATTGGACTAGATACCTGCTATGAAAAACAATCTGTGTGATTCATGGTGAGGTGTGTGCCTCTTGCTTTTTTCACACAAATATTCAATAGGAAAATATTAAATAGCCTATATCCAGAAAAAAGTGGTAAAATTCAGAGTGGTTCCTTCAGTATCTTGATTGCTGCCAGAATTAGATGCCTAGGGCCATTAAAGAATGCTCAGTCATCACCAATTACACACACTCTTTTGTTATGGGAAAATGCAGTAGTGGCAGATATACCTGAGGTCAAAAACTTGATTCATGCTTACCAATGGCCTCCTTTCTTTAAATCCCAGCTATCAGCTCAGAAACACTTTCCACTCAATGCCATTCCTTTCATGTCTGTACTGGAGGACATCTGATAACAAGACAAATAAATATTCCATGAACTTCAGCGACAATGTAAAAGAAATCCTACTATTAATATATTACACAGATGTTTAATGAGAATTATTTATATAGGAGACTAAGATAAAATCATGTGCAATACTTAAACAGAATTATTTTGAAGCCCATCAGTCTTTGTTAGAAGTATCTACCTGAATGCAGCTATTTGCGGTGGCCTCAGAAGTTCCTTTCAGAGCTTCTCTTCTTTTAAATTCAGTGCATAATTTCAGTCTAGAGCTACCCCAGTTACTGCTTTTGTCTGCATTACCACAGTGGAGAAAATAAGCCATAGTAGCTTGTGTCCTTTGCTGCATGTGCCAGTTTCAAGGGGTGGGGTTAGCATAATTGGCAGTCCAGTTGCCTCTGCTTTGCTCCCTCCACTCAGCTGATTGCCATGATTAACAAGCCACCTGAGAATCCTAGAAGAGCCCAGGAGTTCTGGGTGGCTTTTTAACCTAGCCAGTAAGCCATCCAACCTGACACAGGAGGCTGCAGTGCTGAGGTTAATTATGGTAATTCTTCAATGTGTGACACACATGCAAGTTGATTAGCAAGCCACAGTGCCTTGTTATCCACTTCCGTGATCTTGCAGACCTGGTCAATGAAGTGAAAAACAGAAAGTTCCATTTGCAAATGAAAATGCAAATAGAGCTCTGAAGGAAGGTGAATTTATTTCAAACTGGACTGGTGGTTTTAATCTGACATTTTCTTTGTAAAGGAACCATGTGCCTGAAAACTCAGAGACTGAGTTGAATGAGGTTGGCCCCAGGCTTTTAAAAGGATCGTTTAACAACTAGGATCTTTAACAACTATTGCATGCTTGTCTGCATTGTAACTTTTGATTTGGTTTGCATGGCTGCATTTACAAATTTTATTTGCAACCTACCTTGAAAACTGATAATGAAGGGTAATACTGAAATTCCTTATTAAATAAATGAACAAATGCAAAATGAGAATTAATAGCCAGTAATAATTTAAAGTATAATTACATCACAGGCAAAATCCTAACTTCATCTTTTCATTTGTTGATTTTTTCAGAAACATTTAATTTAGTCTTGATGAAATTAGTGTAAACTAGTGAGGATTTCAGGATGCTTTTGGTGAGCAGGTATTGCCATGCATGGCAAGCAGTAGTATTACATTCTAGCGGCAAGGAGTCTGCTAATAGCGCCATTCTTGCATACCTTTAATGTTAAACTGTGCCATCCTTGAGGCACAATGAAGATGTGGTTGCATCCAGCAAAAGATCACACAACATTTTAAATGTGACATCTGAAATAACTTCAGATGAGGTAAGAAACTGCCCTTCAGAGAGCAGACAAAAAACCAAATTCACTAAGAGGAGTGGATGAACAGTTATTTTGTTTGTTATATTGATATCCCACCTTTATCCTTCAGCTCAGAGCTTACGCAATTCTCTTCCTTTCAACCTGATCCCCACAACAGTCCTGTGGAATAGGTTATGTGGAGAGCCTGTGACTGGCTGAAAGTCACCCAGCAAGAGGGGTGAGTGGACACTAGAACTCAGATTCCAATCTAACACTCTAACCATAAGCTATACTGGCTTTCCAGTCTATGGTTGAAACTTTGCAGAAAAGACCCTTAGTTCAGCTAGCCTCATTCTTAAATAAGTTTTACCTGTAATTTTTAAACAAGAAAACTTTATGGGAAAAAGCTATTTCCTTTAGTTCAGATCATGATTCTGATAATTTCAGCATATTTGTTTCCCTTTATGCCCAGCTAGAGAGTACAAATGAAAAATAGCGTAACTGGAAACAGGCCTGCCAACACTGGCATATGGTTTTCTAACTTGCTGTTTATCAGTATACTTCTTAAAATATTGGTCCTTTTCGTGTGTGTGTGTGTGTGTGTGTGTGTGGAGAGAGAGAGAGCTCACATGGTGTAGTGGTTAAGAGCATGGGAATAGGATTCAGGAGATCTGAGATCTGGATTCAAGTTCCCATTCACCCATGTGTGACTTTGGGCCAGTTAAAGACACTCGATCCAATCTACCTCTCAGGGTTGTTGTGGGAATAAAACTGACACCAGGACGAGGAGAATGATGTAAGCTACCTTGAGTTCTTTAAAAAATAATAAGACGGGATATATGTTTAATAAATAAATGCTGTGCCATTTTAGTGAATAGATCCAGTGGGTGCCAGAGTCGCAGCAAAAACAATAGAATCTCATAGCACCTTAAAGATGAACACATTTATTACAGCAGAAGTGTTTGTGACCTGTGGCCACTTCATTGGCTTCATGCTGTGTAATGGAGAGTCCCAGATTGTAAAAAGACTTCTTTACAAAGAGCTTGTCTAGACTGTTTTTCAGTTTAATGTGAAGCTACTTAGAATGCTTAGGGACTGCAGGTGGTGCAGTGGTTTAAACTGCTGTGCCGCTGGGCTGGTAGATCGAAAGGTCGCCGGTTCGAATCTGCACAATGGGGGGAGTTCCCATTGCTCTGTCCCAGCTCCTGCCAACCTTGCAGTTTGAAAGCATGCAAATGCAAGTAGATAAAAAGGTACCACTTCGATGGGCAGGTAACAGCATTCTGTGCACCTCGGTGTTTAGTCATGCCGGCCACATGACCACGGAGACTGTCTGAGGACAAACGCTGGCTCCCTCGGCTAGGAAACGGAGATGAGCACTGCCCCCTAGAGTCAGGCATGACTGGACTTTAATGTCAAGGGGAAACCTTTACCTTTTACTTAGAATACTGGCTTTCCATATATAAAGCTCCCCGGTTCGAAGTTGGACATCTCAGATATTGGGATTATGAAAGATAACCTGGGATCTCGGGTAGCTGTTGATGTCCAGGTGCTAGAAGGACCATGATCTCTTATATTACTTTTAACAGCTTAAATAGGAACCTGATTATTGGAAACTGTCTCCTTATATCCCCAGATGCTAAGGACATGTAGCAAATGGCAAATGTTCCATCACAGTGTTCCTGAGAGAATATGTATGGTCATGGTTGGACTAGCCAGATCCTTGTTCTGGTTTAACATGGCATTTTCTGTTTTTAATCTCTATGTTCTAAATTGCAACACATGAGGATTTGATGGAGAATATTTAACTGTCGCAAGAAATGAGATTTTTCTTCAAGAAAAGAACTGCTCAAAAGAGTGGGGGGATATTTCATTTGAACATCCTTTACAGAATAAGAATGAACACAAATCAGTTTTAGTAATGTGATCCAACCGAGAGGAATTTTGCAAATGGCCAATGCACTCCTGAAAGCAGACAAAGGAGTAATATGAAAAACAAATGAGTTTGTACCAGCTGGTTTCCAGACAATTTCCCCAAGAACTGGTTGGTTACAAGGTAAAACCCCAGTCGAGAAAAACTAACTTTTCCTCAACGTTACTCAGTGTCTGAACTGACAGTTCCTGATGCATCACCTTCTCCATGTCAGCAGATCTTTTGGAGAGGAGACTGCTGAGCTACTTCACCACTGACCTGTGCAGTGGGAAGAAGAAAGAAAAATATCCTTTTTCAACACTTCCCTGCATCTATTTTTGAAGAAGGAGGGCAGCCTTTGCCCTTATCAAGAAATGCCCACCAGGAGTGACCTCTTCATGTGTACATTTGAGCTTTAGTTATTTTTTTATTTTTTATTTTTTTGTGAGGAACAGCTGAAGACTCTCTTCTTTGGACCCAGTAGTAATTTCCATTCTGCATTTTACTTAGTGTTTGTCAAATAATTTATTAAAAGTGGAACCTAATATCTGAAACAAAATAAGGCACAGGTGAAATTATGGAGTCTAAAATTATTGATCTTTAATTCAAACTTTTTTTATTAAAGTATGAATTCCTTTACATTGCAGAATAGTTTACATACATTGGAAAGCAATAAGCATATTTTCAAGAGGTGCAAGTCCTCCTCAGTATGTTCCCATGATCAATCTACATGCTTTAACACTGATTGCACACGCACGCATACACGCACACAAATATACAAAGTGTACATATTCACACACGATGGAATAGACTTGTACAGCTATCTGCTTTGACTAGCTTTCTTTTAAGGCTTCTGTAAGGTGCCCTAGTGCCCCTAACATTACCACAATTTATGAACAAGACTGTATAAAGGAGCAGCATTACCTGCAAACTATTAATCAGAAGTTGGACTTTAAACATTTTTATTAAAAACAAAACAAATGTCTTAAGTTATGATTCATTTCATCTGTGACCAGAAATGGGTTCAGGAAAGATCACAATGAGGTTTTGAATCAGAACAAACCATCTGCTTTCAAATTTGATCACAAAGGGTTCTTGGCTTTCCTCTGAACGATACCCCAGGATCATTATGGTAGTTCAAACATGACTCTTGACATCAGGTAGTACAGGTAAATGTACCATCAGGTAAATAAGCCAAAATAGACCCAGTTGATGGCAGGACTGCTGTGAAATAAAGGTTTTATACGTTGCCAGGACTGGAAGACAGCCTGCATCCTAGACCCAACCTAGTAACTGTCCAGGGTTTTCACAATCTCGCTTTCAATCTTCAGCAGTGAGCTAAGGATTCAGAGAAAATGGGATCACAATCAGATCGCCAACCTTTGGCCCACATTTTTCTATCCCTGCAGTTCATATATTAATAATGATGGGGCTATGAACAATGATGTGGAAGATGAGCAAGTGCAGGTACATCCTTAAAAAAGGTAAAATTAATGAAATAAAATATAGCATATGATTATAACATGTACATATAAGCGTCTTGGAATATTCAAACTGTGAAATATGAATTTAACTGTAGACTGTTAATCTAAAAGGCTGCAGGTAGTTATTTCAGCCTGGAGGTGGCTAACTGGAATAGCTGTTGGTCACCAAATGATATTTTATATGCGTGTGTGTGTGTGTGTGTGTGTTTGTAGAGACTGATCCCATTTGCGACCACATTAGATGCTAGCAATGAATCCTAGAGGATTTTATTGTTAGAGTTACTCAATCGGTTTCAACAGTCGAATTGAAATAATTTATTCTCTTTAAGAAATGGGACTTGAAGATAAAATGGACAAACAAGAAAGAAAAACACATTTGTCACATTTTTTAAAGAACAGCAGCAGATTTCAATGTAATGCAATTACTATAAAGATGCATATATTTTAGGGAATTACTGAATTGCTTCTTTTTTATTTTGAAAAGCTGATCAGTCAAGTGTTGGGAATTTCATCACTCCCAAACTGAACTGTTGCTTATTCATCTATATGCTTCTATTCCCAGGGCCATTTCTGCTTTTATTTAACCATCAGTGAGTTTAAGTCAGCCATCATCAGATTCCAATTCTTGAGACATTTCCTCAGATGAGCTATTCCTGTGGATCCGGCCATCACTCTTCATGCTATGGAAAGTCTTCTTAAAGGCCTCCATCATGGCATGTGCTAGCTTCTTGGCCTCTAGCTTGCTCTCACACTCTACAGCATGGCAGTCCATCTGGTAGGACAAGTCGTCATTGATTTCCCGATAAACCCAAGCAAAAATATTAGGGCTGACATTGTGGTCGGCAGTGCAGTAAGCAATACGTGCAACCTGAAAGGTATCCATGTGGACAGTGGCCTCTCCTTTGAGGTCTAGATGATGAAGCCAAACTTGGAACGGGCGGATTTCCAGGAGGGCATTAGCTGGGAAGATATCCTCTCTGGCAAGTGTGTGCTTCTTCCACAACTCAATGACGGGTTTCTCTGTGCAACCTGACAAAAACTGCATCCCTGTTGTGGAAACTTTACCCAGGTATGTAACCTGAAACAAAGAGAGACAGAGAGAAAGAAACCATTTGTCAACAAACTCTTTGGTATTTCAGTTTTGAAAACCTGTGATCTTTCCACCAAATTCCCTAAACAACACTTGAAATCCTCTGCAGACCTTCTACTGAAATTAGACTATATTTAGCTGGTGATTTTCAAAGCTTGGATGACAATGGATTAGTACATCAGGTATCTTCAGATCCCAGTGCGTCTAGGAGCCAGTCAATGTAATGTAGAGCAATGCTATCAAAAACTGAGTACATCCACATTAACTTTGCAGTATAAATGATGCCTATCCTTTGACTTAAGAGTACCAAGTACCAGAAATGGCATTGCCTCAGGAGACAATGAACTTTCTTGTCTGAAACAATTTCCATTGATTGCGTCAAATGTAGGCGTACATGAAGGGAGGGCAAACATTCTGTTCTTACTAAGTGCCTCACTCATCCGCCCCCCATTAACCTTACAAAGAGGCCATCTCAAAATCTTGTAGCAATACATCAAAGTAAAGTAATTGCAAGTGTAGCATGGCAAATTGTAACCCTTTTTACCTATAAGTAGTCTTACTGAGTTCAATGGGGCTTACTCCCAAGTAAGAGTTCAAAGGCTAAGAGACTGAGCAGCAAATACTCCCACATCTCAAATTGTTTATCTTTTTTGCCTTTGTAATTTAGGAGTCATTTTTAACCCAAATAGAAACCTTGAGCAACTTGTAATTAAGGATTTTAAAAACCTTTAGAAAAGCATGTGAAACTAAGGTCTATTCCGATGGTGGATAGACTGTGTTCAGGCAGCCATAGCCTTGCTGGGAGGGCACCCCATGCCAGCAAGCGGGGGCAGTGCTTGTTCTAGATGGCAGAGAGGAGGGAAGTAAGGCTCTAAAGGGATAGGAGAAATCACAGCAGTGCCTCCCTCAGCCCTTCCTCCTCCAAAGCAGGGCAAAAAGCTATACAAGGCCAAAATGACACGGCTGTGGGGAAGGTGAGGTTCCTCCCACCCTCAACAGGATGTCTTGGAAAGCCGCATTGGACGGCATCCTAAAAGATATAAAATAAAAAGGAAAGAAGACTCTGTTCGAAGGATGTGAGTGCAAGAAAAAATGCTACAGGTTCAGCATTAAGGATGCAGCGACAAATATGGTCAAGAACCTGGGAAGAGAAGTGTGGCTGGCATCATTTAACCACACCTGGTCAAATCTTGAAATCCTATTGCTATGCATTACAAACAATGCTTTTGTATAAGTGAGGGTAATAAAATATATTTTCACCTGGTACAGTAGCACACCTGGATCAGTTCTAAGTTATCAAGCCTGGAGCTGTGGAAGCTGCTGAAAATGATTGGCAGACAACACAGGACCAAACCAGGCTAAATACAATTAATATAAGGATTATGTAAAGAGCAATCTTTGGACCCTGGAGGGACAAAAAGAGAGGACAGTTTAGCTTTTTCTATTCCTGCCACAGTCTGGAAAGAAAACTGCCTCTGTGAAGATGCTATTTGCATTTCAAGTTTCCATTCCCTTGAAATGCAAGCAGTACCTTAGAGGGATGTATTTCCAGATCATGGAAGGAGCAGAAAAGGGCTTAGCTGCACAGCAAAAGTAAAATATAAATGTGAATAACAATTACAGTCACATATTTAGTCCTACTTTGGCCCACTGATTCTTCGCTTTAGGGTAGGTAGCTGCTATTTTTCTCTGGGAAAAATACTCTTTCCACACCCAAGAAACAACCAGTATAAGAGCTTTCCATGCTTACATTATTTTAAAAAAGAAAGACTTATAAAAAACAAGTAACTTGGAAAAACAATGCATTTACATAGAGAAACTGTAAGTAGGAAGAAAACAAAGTTTGCAGGAGTTTGTAGCTTTGGTTGCTGCCAGACACAGAGAGACCCACATACGACTATAATTAGGGAATTATATATAAAAAAAGATTGGAAATCTACTGTGCTTTGTTTATTTAATTACATTTATATGCCACCTTTTATCCTGCCAACAACCCAAGGTAGCTGACATTTTCGCCTCTTCATTTTATCATCACAACAAACCAGTGAAGTATATTAGGCTGAGGATTGGTGACTGGCCCAGAGTGGGGACTAGAATCCCTATCTTCTGAGTCCTATTCCAACATTTTAAGTAGATCCAGACTGCATTGGATCATTCCTTGCCTGCCAAAGAGCAGTGGAATCTTAAAATGGAAAGTCTTAAGTTGTTTTTCTATTAATCTTAATAATATGCATTGGCAATGTTTTAGCTCTGCAAGTGTCTTATATCCAAAGGAGAACAGGTTACTGGGAATCCCAATAACTAAAGTTGTTAACAAGACTCAAGGAGCTTCATTTCCTATCAAAGGAATTAGCCTCCCCAGAACCTTGTGGTGCTACTTAAAGTTCTAGCAGCTCTTCAAGCAAATTGGCCACACTGCTAAGCCCCTCCTTGCATGCCCCTTCCGAACAACCACATCCACTCCACGGGTCTGTCACTTTTTGAGTCCGTAAACTAAGATAAAGATATTCTGGCATATTCACAAACACTGGCATATTATCTACAGAGACATTCTAATACTCTTTATATTTTATGCCAATCATACAAAAATGGCATGGTAACTAAAATCGAACAAACAAAAAGTGAGGCATGTTTGAAAAATGACACCACTCAGTGGGCATGTGAGATTCAGCTCTCAGAGGCTTTGATGCACACTGTTGGAGAGGTTTAAAATTGAAACACTGAATTGTTTCCAAAAAGTAGAAGTTGGCTACTTTTGCATTTAACATCTTCAGACACCTCATTGGGACAAAAATGCTCTCATGATGACAAACATCCTAGCAATTCTTGCAGAAAAACATGCCCAAAGTATGACTGAGCCACTAAAATGGAACTCAAGAGATTAAAAAAATCCATGGCCTTTTTGTCCTTTCATCCAAGAGAAAAGGATTGGTTAAAGCTTTTGGATGCACAGAAAAAGACAAGTTTCATCCACCCCATTTGCCTTTGAGATTAAACTGTACAGTCAGCCCTCCACATCAGTGGGGGTTAGGGATGCGGGACCCCTGAGGAAGTGGAAAAACTATGAATATTTACCCCCCCCCCAGCAAATATTTCCTTAACACTGTTGACCATACATGTACTGCACTGCTTCTTCCTCTCTCTCTCTGACCTTGCTCTGATCCAGCAGGCTTCTCTTCTTCATTTATTACATTCTTATCTTCTTATTTCCTACCTGCCCTTTCACCCACCAGTGCCTCCTCTTTGCACCAAGGAAATGCCAGAGATATTTCCCTCTCTGAGTGGGCAGAGCAGGAAGGCGTGCTTGGAGACTCTCCCTCTCTTCCTTTCACTTCCTCTCTCTCTATTGCAATGACGATTTTCCGCAGTAGGCTGCAGAACTCCAAAGAACCCTCCCATTTGACAATTGTTGGCAAACTCACAAATAATCAAATCTGTGAAAGCTAAACCTGCCAAAGTTGAGGTTTGACTGTGCATTCTAATGGACAAAGGGGACCAATAATAAAGATGACTTATTATTATTGATAGCATCATTAGATAGTCCTTAGATAGCTTTCAACCACTTGTATCAGTTCTATGCTGGAATTTTCAAATGGCTGAAAAGTTGTTTCTGAGACAACCAAGTCAGAAACATGTGAATGATAAAACCACCCTTGGTGGAACTCCCTACCAGAAGAGGTGCAGTTAGTCCCCATTGTGACCTTTTGAAATGTAAAGTACAATCCTATGGATGTTCATATGGAAAATTCTTCAACTTCCAACAAGTTGGGAACTGTTTTTCCATCTGAGCGGGCATAGAAGGCAACCTGAAAAGAGGCATATTCAAGAAACATTTTAATCCCCTTCCCCTCTTGACTGTTTTCTTTTTCTCCACTTATGGACTCTGCAAACCCCAAGTAGTATTGCCTTTCCTCAACTTCACAAAAAGAGACCATTATATGAGCAGAAGAGCTAAAATCTAACAAAATAATGCTGACTGAGAAATGCTGGAATTGTATGATTTTTTTCTGTCTTATAATGCATAAAACTGGGCCCTTAAATACTTTTCACATGGATTTGGCTCCCAGTTGCAGCATTTGTAGGTCAGATTGTTGTTGTTGTATTTGAATTGTTTTAGCAGCTAAATTGTTTATAGTTTGATTTTATGGTTGCTTTATTGCTGGCTTTAATGATATTGTAAGCCATTATGTGGAATTTGGAGGAAGGGTGGGGATAACATTTCTAAATTAATGGATAAGCCAAACTACTGAATTTTAGAGCCAAGCAGTTTCTAGTTTCAACTGCTTTTCCACGTAGTGATCAAAACATGTTTTCAGCCATCGTTCTCAGGGAAAAGCATTTTCAAATAAACAAAACCAAAACCCATACTTGTTAGGAAACTACCCAACAATAGCCATGTACCTTCATTAATAGAAAACTAATAATAAGAGAACTACAGTGAATATAACATGTCTTTTAACATTGTCTGTACTCTCGCATACTACTTTCAAACATTATGTTCCCCCCTTATTTAAATGTTAGCACTGAAAAATCATTACTCACGAGTAATTTCCTCAAACTCAGTCAAACTGTTCACAAAGAACTGGTTGCTGCTTCAATTTTCTTTAATTCTGATTTCTTTAACAGATCTCTTTTTCATGTTATTTTACAAGTCACCACCAGTGAAATGCTTTTTAAAATGCACAAAACATAAAATATTGATGTGCTATATTACATATTCTTTCTATATACCATCAGGTTATACTGAAGAAGTATTAGAAGGTTTAGTGAAAATTATAAACCCACACCATTGAAGAGCCCAGTGTGCTGACGCAGTTAGTGATGGACAGGGGCACCTTTGAGAGCCAGCTTCTACTTCCAGTTATCCATGAAGCTCATCAGGTAAGTTAGGAGGACTATGCTAGCTGTCTTTCCTCACAAGAAGAAAAATGCAATGTCATTATCATCTTCTTCATCATGAAGACATAAAAGAATTACTCAGCATGTAT